CCTGTCCCCCTCGCCCCCACCCCCACCCCCGCCAGCACCTGCCCAGGACCAGCGCCAGGGCCCCCATGCTCTGGGGAGGCTGAGGCTCCACCGGGCCGCTGCGGCCCAGGGAGGGGCTTGGGGGTTTTCATTTTCCTTTTTTTCCTTATTTCAGTTTTATTCGTTCTTCACGCAACAAAATGGCCGAGTGGACAAGGTAGGCGGGCAGGCGGCCGAGGGCGGGTTCGCACACCAGCAGCTATGGGGGCGCAGAGTGGCTCAGAGTCTCGCCGTTGTCTCCTGTTTTCTGGTTCTTGTTTCATTTAAGTGTGGCTTTTATTTTATTTTATTTATTTATTACATCACTCTTCATTTCGTGCATTTTCCCATCCCGGCTGTCATCCCGTGGGCTTCCCACCTCCACTTCACCCGTGCGCCATCACCACAGTCCCCCGTCCTCTTCCCGCCCCAGTTCTGACCCCACTCCCCCAAAAAAGCCATCTGTTTTTTGTTGTTTTTTTTTTAACTGAGTACTTTAATCTTTGAAAGCACTTGCTGTAAACTGCTAACCCCTGAGCTGATATTAAGGGCATAAAAAGAAAAGACTGTCCCAGCCCAACACGGTCCTGAAATAATCACTGAGCCACGGAGTCGCTCGATAGTTCAGCCACTGTGCATGGGGGCTCCGGCCCCCCGCCCCCCACTGGACTGCACACGAGTTCCGAGTCCTGGCCGACGGTGAGCGGATGCAGGCTCAGGATGGCCCCCCATTTCCAGGTTCCGGCGCTGTCCTCAGAAGCCCCCCACCGCGTCAGGGGAGCAAGCGCCCCTGGCGCCGGTGCACCGGACAGCACGCCAGTCGCCGTCACCCGCAATGCTCCGGGGGCCAGCTCCGCACCGGGAGGGTGCCAGCGGGAGGCAGCGGAGAAGCCGGCAGCGAAGGAGCCACGCAGGAGGGCCGGGGCGGCAGCCCCCGCTCCCGGGAGCACGTGGGGTGCGGGAACCAGAGGCTGAGGGGCGCTTGGCCGGGCTGGGGCGTGACATAGAGAAGGGGCCGGCTTGGGCAGCTACCAACAATTCTCCGGCAAAGGAGGGGACCGAGGTGGGAGGGGCAAGTGCCGAGACCTGGGCCAGGCACAGAGTCAGTTTTCTCTCCCGGATATTCGAAAATTTGACGCCGCTCAGGGAAGGAGGCTAAGACACTGAGCAGAGCTGAAAAGCAGCGAGGGCGATTTGGGCAGTTTCGCCAGCCGAGGACACAAGTGAAGGCGCTCACCACAAAGCTGGAAGCTATCGTGAGAAGAGTCAAAGGACCGAGTCGCACCACTTCCGTTTGCCGCTGCCGTGGCTAAGTACCAGGCTGAGCAGCTTTATCAGCAGCAGCTCAGTCTCGCCTTCCTGAAGTCCAGGGTCTACCTGTGGCTGAGCCAAGCCCCCTCGAATGCTCCAGGGAGGCCTGTTCTGGGCCTCTCTGCTGGCCTGGCGGCTCCTGCCCTCCACCCCATTCTCCTAGTCCTGTTCCCATCATCTTCCCCGTGGGGTGGGGGTGGGGGTGTGACCCACTTTCCCTTTTGTAAGCACAGGCCTTACTGAATTGGGCCCCTCCCAACTCTAGTTTGACCTCAATTCAGTTACCGTTGCAACAGCTCTTCCAAACAAGACCACACTGATGTCCTTCAACATACATTTTAGAGGGGACTCCATTCAGCCTGTATCACTACTCTTCACAGACTGAGAAGAGAAGATGTCAATCCTCCCACACAAACTCGACAAGCTATCGTGGGCTCGTTCCTCAAAAACTCGCCCACGATGAAACTGAAAATCTAGAACTCTAGATCTCTAGAAAATGATCTCCAGAATAGGCCCTCCCTCCCTGGCGCATTCAGGGGCGCTGGCTCCAATCCCTGACTTCCGGAAAGGTGAGACTGAATTTCTGTTCTACAAGCTACTCTAGGTTTTAATAAAATCCAGCCCTTTGAATAAAGACAAACTTGCTCTGAAATGCAGATGAACACGCAAGGGAAGTGGGAGGAAGTTGAAAAGGAAGCGGAAGACACATCCAGTTTCCAGACGTACTAAGCAGAAGCCAGCCAGCCGGTGTGGAGACGGTGGAGATACAGCCACCGGGGTCAGCACAGCAGGCCAAGACACCAGAGGTGAGGCCACACAAGCCCGCTGAGTTTGCCAAACAAAAAGCAATTCAGGGGAA